CCATTTTGCGATTTTCGTAATAATTATTGAGAAATTAATTAAAAAAGATCGACCAATTCGCGTGACTATAAGCGTGCGGCGAGGAAGAACAGCCCAGAAACATCCCAAAAGTTTGTTGTTGCTAGGCGCGCGAGGAAGTTTTGAGAGGAGCGGTCTACAAATGACAATGGTTATGTACGAGAGAGAGAGAGAGAGAGAGAGAGAGAGAGAGAGAGAGAGAGAGAGAGAGAGAGAGAGAGAGAGAGAGAGAGAGAGAGAGAGAGAGAGAGAGAGAGAGAGAGAGAGAGAGAGAGAGAGAGAGAGAGAGAGAGAGAGAGAGAGAGAGAGAGAGAGAGAGAGAGAGAGAGAGAGAGAGAGAGAGAGAGAGAGAGAGAGAGAGAGAGAGAGAGAGAGAGAGAGAGAGAGAGAGAGAGAGAGAGAGAGAGAGAGAGAGAGAGAGAGAGAGAGAGAGAGAGAGAGAGAGAGAGAGAGAGAGAGAGAGAGAGAGAGAGAGAGAGAGAGAGAGAGAGAGAGAGAGAGAGAGAGAGAGAGAGAGAGAGAGAGAGAGAGAGAGAGAGAGAGAGAGAGAGAGAGAGAGAGAGAGAGAGAGAGAGAGAGAGAGAGAGAGAGAGAGAGAGAGAGAGAGAGAGAGAGAGAGAGAGAGAGAGAGAGAGAGAGAGAGAGAGAGAGAGAGAGAGAGAGAGAGAGAGAGAGAGAGAGAGAGAGAGAGAGAGAGAGAGAGAGAGAGAGAGAGAGAGAGAGAGAGAGAGAGAGAGGGAGAGAGAAAGAAGAGGAGGGTACATAACGATGGATTCTCGCGTCCTAGCAATCACACATCAATCACACATGGGTTGTCCCTTTTTACTGCGCGCTTATACTCACACGAATTGATCAATCTTTTTTAATTAATTTCTCAATAATTATTACGAAAATCACAAAATGGTAAAGGACTTTTCTGTTCAGTTTATTGTGCTCTAACCGCTTACGTTATTGGCACAATCTTTACCAGACACCCTGTATATTAAAATATTTATTTTATATAAATTTTGTAATTACAATATCCACTCAAAGAACATGAATTGAATGCAAATGACGTAAAAATGAAGAAACGATTTTTTATCTTTTCAATATGAAAAGCGTGTACTTAAGTGTAATATTTCTTGTAAAAAATATAATGCGTTTAACAAAAAAATCCAAAACGACAACTTTAATTAAAAAGAAAAAAAAAAAAAAAAAATAGAGAATAGGACTTCATCGCGATTTATAAATCTCCTGAAAATGTTGTTGAACCAGTTGAACATATTCATCCTTGATCCGCATCGTCATTCTTGCGTAACGTTCAAATCCAATCTAATCTCGAGGCTCATATATGTATAAGAAATCGATCGAAGGTTGAAGGGTTTCGAAAATTCGATTTGTCTCGTTGAATTTCTCAATTGCCTTGCTAAACTGCTAAATTTTATATTCTTTTTCTTTTTTTTTTTACACGAAATAATACTGATGGTCGCTGTC